GGCGGTCTCGGCGGCCGCGCTCCCACGGTCAGCGAATCTGCCTACTCAGCGATCTTGCAGGAATCCCTCCGCCCAGTTGCCAATTTGGTTAACATTTGTTAACTACTCCCTCCTTCAAGACTTGGCCGTCCTCGCTCAAGCCCATGTTCTTCAGCACCTGCTGGATGGCGTCGGCTGTTTCCTTCCGCTGAGTGCGCCGCAGTTTCCAGAAGATTCCGGCTTTGATGGCGCATATGAGTACGCCTACGGCTACGGCTACGGCTAGCACGGGCCCGGTGACAAGGACCGTCTGAACTTCAGCGATGCGTTCCAAATTTTTCGTCGCTGAGTTTGTGGAGGTATGGCAGGCTCAGCAGAGTTTGGTGCCAGGTGACGTTGATTCTTGTGGCCGCTGCCACACCTGGGAGCCTTTTCGGCACGCTATTGAAGTTGGTGTTCGTAGAACCCTTCATCCAGGCTACCTGGTCAAAATTCACCAGGTACTTTCCCGTAATTCGGCGTTCCGGGCCATTGTCAATGGTTACGAAGGCATGTGCGGCGTTGATTATTACGATGCCCTCATCTACTTCGAAGATCGGGGGCAAATCATTGGGTTGTGGGTCGCAGTGGGCTACTTCTCCGGAATGCAGCTCTTGGGCACAGTTGTTTGTCGGTGCCGCCTTGCAAATGGCAAGGTCTGGGAGTCCTTTGCATGACGTGACTGCAATGATCTTGCTGTCGCACTCAGCTACGATGTTCTCTGGCATTCGGATTATTACCCCGCTACGAATATTATTAATTCTTTGTTAACTAAGGCCCTCACATTGGCAGCGCCCTTTAATTGGGTTACGCTGATACAGGTAGGACTTTTATTCAAAATCGCCTTCAAATCATCGATATCAATGATAGCCGGGTTAATTATGTTTATTTTCGCCTATCATTATGTTTTGTCTATGAGAGTGAAGATTGCCGGCGAAAATTTTCACGAATATATACTGCAGATGAAACGCATTGCTGCACGTGGGACAACAGACACGGAGTCGGTAATTCGATACATTGTCGACGGACTGAATTTAAAAATTACAAATTACAAATTAATTAAGAATTACAAGTACACCTTGTATGGATGCAGCTCATACAAGCAGCTGCGAGAGAAGTACGAAATCTACGAAAGAACGCTCGCGGTTGATGGGGGTTTGCCCCCAAGCAAAAAGACTCACAGCCGTTCGGAAAGAAGTCCAATTTCACCAAATATGAAAGGAAGCAACACTGCTACAATTGTGGATCCCAGGAGCATCTACGCAAGGATTGCCGAGCTGCATTAAAGTGTTTCCGCTGCAATCAGACTGCACACATGTCTACGGATTGCCCGAGTGCTGCTGCCGTAAAAGTTGCATACGAGGAAAAACACCTCAAATCTCTAAAAATTAACGACGTGCAAGTCAAGGGGCTCATAGACACCGGTGCAGATGTTTCCCTATTAAAGATTTCAGTGTTCGGCAAAATGAGTGGTGTCCATATGCAAGCCAGTTCGTCAATTTTGAAGGGACTTGGAAACAACATCACACGCTCCGCTGGGCAGTTTACGGCAGAAGTGGAGATCGACGGAATGCGACTGGCACACAAATTCCTTGTGGTGGCCGATCATGCCGTCGATTGCGAATTGTTGCTTGGACACGACTTTATATCCAAGTTCACAATGACATCAACGCAAGGAGGATATAAGTTTTCTCCCCTGCCGGGGGAGGAAACTGAGGACATCAAACAGATAAGTATTTACAACGTGGTCGAAGCAAATACTGACATAAACATTCCACCGCAGTTCAGAGATGCCGTCCAATCAATGATTCAGGAGTTTACTGAAAAGAAGCAGACTGCAGTGTGCGCGATCATGCTGAAGTTCGTACCGGACGAGAAAATAGCGCCGTTTCGACATTCGCCAAGTCGAGTGGCCATCAGCGAAGCCGACGTTGTCAAGCAGCAGATCGATGAATGGGCCAACGCTGGGATAATACGACCCTCATCATGAAATTTCGCCAGTCGGACTATAATTGTCAAGAAAAAGGATGGGAGCAGCCGGGTCTGCGTAGACTATCGTCAGTTGAACAAAATCGTCTTGAAAGATTGCTTTCCCGTTCCAATCGTTGAAGAGGTGCTGGAAAAACTGGAAAATGCTAAGGTGTTCACCATCATGGACTTAGAAAATGGGGTTTTCCACGTTCCTGTGGAAGAAAGCAGCAAAAATATACGACGTTCATAACGAAGGAAGGCCTCTTTGAGTTCAACCGTGCGCCTTTCGGTTTTTGCAATTCGCCAGCAGTTTTCATCCGTTTTATAAGTTTTGTATTTCAAAACCTTATAAATGAAAACATTCTTGACCTGTACATAGACGAGATACGCACTGATGCGTCAAAGGACGGGCTTGCAGCGGCGTTGTTACAATGGCACGAAGGACAAATGTATCCGATCTTATTCTGGAGTAAGTAAACCTCGGAGTCTGAAGCACGACAGCATAGCTATATACAGGAAGACAAAGCAATTTTCCTAGCGTGCAAAAAATTTCGTCAGTACATACTTGGAATCAACTTTAAGCTCGTAACGGATTGCGCTGCTTTCAAGCAAACGTTAAGCAAGAAGGACGTTCCGCGGGAGGTAGCCCAATGGGTCCTGTACCTACACGACTACGACTTTGAAGTGGAACACAGACCAGGAGAACGGCTGAAGCATGTGGATTGCCTGAGTAGGTACCCAATTGATGTTATGATGGTATCTTCGGAAGTCACAGCAAGAATTAAGAAAGCCCAGCAGGAGGATACGATGATCAAAGCAGTTTCCTAAATGTTGAAAAGTAAACCATATGACAACTTTAATACCGAAGTCATTAGAAAAAGAAATAATAACCGACGCTCACAACGCAGGACACTTTGCCGCTCAAAAAACAATGCATACCATACAGCAGAGCTATTGGATTCCACATCTGGAAGGAAAAGTAATGCAGATCATAGGAAACTATATGAAACCTATGTATGAACATTGGGCCTATGGATGCTACTTCAAAGCAGTACAAGTACATCTTCGCAATGGTTGATAGCTTCAGTAAGTTCGTATGGATGTATCCCACAAAAACAACAGGAGCAGACGAAGTTCTCAAGAAGTTAAGGGAGTGGTCTGATGTATTCGGTAATCCGGCACGCATAGTAAGCGATCGTGGAGCAGCATTTACATCTTCAAGCTTTGAGGAGTTTGTCAAGGAAAAAAACATCGAACACGTATGGAGCACTACAGGGGTACCAAGAGGAAACGGACAAATTGAACGCGTAAACCGATCTTGTCTGAGCATCATTTCCAAATTGACGTCGGAGGAACCTGGAAGATGGTATAAGTTCGTACCGCGAGTCTACAAGCGGTCTACAAAGGTCTACAAAGCGTTGTCTATTTGAGCTGATGATCGGGTGAAAAATGCGTTGTGGACCGGATAGCGACATACTTCAGCTGATAGAAAAAGAGATGGTTGATCATTTTTAAGACGAGAGACAAAAGATGCGACTAGAGGCAAAAGAAAATATTCAGCAGGCCCAGGACAGATACAAGGAACAATTCGATAAAAAGGGGAAATGCGAATACGGATACAAGGTCGGAAATCTCGTGGCTATACGTAGAACACAATTCCAGCGAATTTTTAGGACCATACAAAATAACTAACGTGAAACGAGACGGACGCTATAATGTTCGGAAAGCAGCAGACGTCGAAGGAACAAACAATACGACCACAAGCAACGATAACATGACACTATGGAGCTTTTCTGTAGAAAACAAGGACGCATGGTCATCAGGAACTGATGACTAATCAGGATGAACGAGTGTAAGGAGTAGACAAGCTGGCCCATTGAGGGAGCAGTAGTTAACAGCAGGAACGGCGGATTAACAGCAGATGGACAGCAGTACAACAGCAGTAATAACGCTAGCAGATGAACAGCTGATAAGCAGCAACAGCAGAGAAGAAGAGAAACCAAAAAAGGCAGTCGAAAGAGGGAACACGAGCATACGCACGCGACTCAAACAGCAGCAGAAATCCAGCATAAATAAGCCTTAACCTTAAGAACTATTTTAATCACACATACCAGGCCACCGCGATAATAATACGAATTAAGAATACTCTAAATAATATCTTACATGTATATTTAATATTGATAAATAAAATTCAAATAAGGATTATATATTAAGTTTGTAAATGTAAAGCGAGGGGGAACGTTGTGAGTTGCTGCTGCGACCGCGACTCTACATTTATACCCGACACATAGTCAGTATGGCTACATTGAGCGATAAAGAGTGCGTGTGGTAGAGACAATAAACGTGTCTGAGTATGTCGTCTGCAAATTGCAATTGCACTGCAAATTTATTTGTTACTTTTGGCTATAATAAAAATCGATCTGATCAAGAGTCGGCTATCTGGTAGATATGGTAATTTTCTTTGACTTGAGTTTTTAATTTTCTCGAATTTTCAAAATTGTGGATGCCACAAATCTTCGTCCTTTGTCATTGGGACGAACAGACGGACACCCAGAAATGGCTCCATCGACTCGGCTATTGATGCTGATCAAGAATATATATACTTTATGGGGTTGGAAGCGCTTCTTTCTGAACGTTACACACATCCATTTTCACCACAAATCTAATATACCCCTATACTTATTTTGAGTATCGGGTATAATGAATGTGTGGTTCAAATCACAACGTCTAACACAATTCGGCACGGTTTAATGTAATTTAAAAAACAAAAATAATTTTTTGTAGTAAAAAATAGAGGGTATGCGTGTTGAATTTTTACTTTCATAACAAATAAGGGACACTCTAATGTACACGCTATTGTATTGGTGTCGATCACTTTTGAACAGAGTACGTTTGCTGGCAGCGTTGCAGCATATCACTTTTCTATGCTCATGAGATCCATGCCAACCACTGCTTTAACCCAGTATAGTAGTTCTACAGAACATATCCATGAGATTTAAACTTCAACTCACATGCCGGTTTCCGTCCACAAGATATCCTCCAACATGGTAGTGCTTTTGCTGAATATTGGGTGAAAGAAGTTGCCTGTAAAATATATAAAAAGAGTTCTCATAATAACTATTTCCAACTTGTAATTATCTAAACATAATTCAACTTATAACTGATAGTCAAACTGACACTTCAAAGGAACACTAGCTATGCGGTGGCTAAGCTTTTAATACACTTAATCGTCGATCCAAAGTTGCTTGGTGATTCCCTTTTTTTATATCAGGAACTCAAAAAGTATATGAATATGAATACGTATATATATATGTATGAATATATTAGATTCGTGCAAATGTACATATGCAGCAGCCAGAAGGAATCTGAGCCTAGAGCAACCAAATTTTGTGCATAGACTGCTGCATTTAAACTGAAACAAGCGTATTTTAAAATTAAACGGATAATCAGAAACGTTCAACCAAAGAGGAAATTTGTTGTTTCACGGCTGGCCCCTGGCCTTACATTTAATGATGTAACTGCTTTTATACAAAGCAAAAAAAAAACGTTGGTTTAAAGGTGGATAAGTTTAACTTTTCTTATGCCATGGAGATAGCTTCATTTAAGATATTCGTTTCCCCAACTCAATTCGACATCATTTGCTCTGCCAAATTTTGGCCGGAGCATTTAGTGGTTAAAGAGTATAAGGTTATCCTCATCTTCGCGATCTATTTCCAACCTTTCAAAAAACTAATTTTTTCTCTTGCAGTAACCTATCAGAATGTGAGAGGCTTACATAATAAGCTTATGACTCTTTTTCCGGATAGTGACATATTTTCATTTTACGTTATTCTGTTTACCGAGACCTGGTTAAAACCGGACATTCTTTGTTCCGAAGTTTTCGCAGGTCGGTACACAACTTTTAGAAAGGACCGTTCGTCTCGACGTGCAGGAGGCGTTCTGATTGCAGTGGACTCAAGCTTCACGTCGGAGCACTTCACAGTCAAGGTTCAACAAGAATTGGAATTTTTGTGTGTCAAACTGATGCTCCTGACTTTTCCATCTCGTATGTTTGACAGTCCTCGGATATCTCAATATACGAGCAGCACATGGCTGCTATAAAAACGGATTCTTCCTCGTTATCAGATAAAGATCACATGATTTTTCTTGGTGACTTTATCTTGCCAGGTACTGTTTGGTCTTCGGTAAACGAGTCTAATAACATAGTGCCCATGTCACGATATGACATTATTCATGGCTTGCTTGACCAGTCCTTATTTCAAGGCACTTATGTAAAAATTTCCTGGGGTCGTTTGCTTGACCTGTGCTTTGCCTCGGATCCGGCCATAGTATTTTTAATCCAGAAGCACAACTAAGAGATAGACACGTATCCTGTTTCGAGAACAATCTCAAAGCTGTGAAAAGGGCAAAATCTGAAAGGTATGCTAGTTGAGTATCAAGCTGAGATGAACAACAAAAAAAACAAACTTGGAGGTTTAAAAAAAATTAGAACGAATAGATTAGGATTAGGACTAAGATTCGACTTGAACACAGCGTCTGAATACCTAGATTACCTGAAAGAGCAGATCCCGCAGAAGAAATACGCTCAAATAAAGAAAATCTGTACTTATGTAAATAGTCAAAACTCGGGAGAGGTTTAGACTATGAATTATTTAGTCAAGGTTCTAGATAAAGGACAGAAAATAGCCGGTGGTAGAGATAAAATGACGGATGAGTCCTTAATCCTGAATAAAAAAAAATGTTTAAACGAGTTTAAATAATAGAATAAATAAAATCACATCGATTCCAAAAAAAAACAAAAAAGTAACTACAGAAACTACAGACCCATCTCTTTAATCGAAGTATTCGATAAGAAACTAAACTTTATGTTTTTGTTGATTTAAATTACTTTTATCCGATCAGATCTTACTCATAAAAAAAAAGAAGAGAGAAAAAATAATTCTTGCAGGACATTACTCCTATCAAGTCAGGAGTTAACCATCGATTAGCGGTAAATCTTGGAAAATGCTTGGTACGGGCAAAACAAGAATACTCAGTGTATATAGGAAATACAAATTTGATGGGAGTTGCCAAGCGAGTGCACTAAGGAGATTTATGTGCGTCCGGCCACGCCGCAGCACCTCATCAAATTTTTGGCAGCAAAAGAACTGTTTAAGGTAAAAAGATTGAACCCTGAACTATATGAAAATGTTAAAGATTCCATGACAGGGACAGCTGTCCTAAATAAGTTTCGTAATGTTTGCCAGAGGTATGGAAAAAAATTGTCATACAGTAGCTAATTAGTATTAGCATCAGTAATAGTGTTACTGGATTACACTGAGCGAAGAAAGCGCAAGTTTAAAAGAAATCAACGATTTTCTTCAGTGTATAGCGTGCTAGACTGGAATATACAAAATTGTGATCATATGTAATTTTAGGACAGATACGTGACCTTATTTCTAACTCGAACATTGATACACAAACCATTTGTTGGATTCCCGGCCTGTATGAAGGTATGTTGCAGACATCTTCCCTGATCTTCCGGAGACCCCCTGGCATCATAATATTAAATGGATAGCTAAGGACATCAAAACAATCAATCAACTTCTTACCAACCATATTTACGATAAAGTCTACCTACACTAGATAAAAACCTTAAATTCAAATACTTCGAAAGATTGTTGAGTGGTTCACTTCTTTAAAATAAATATTTTTACAAAAAGAACAACTATTTTTAAGAGAATTGATTAGATTAAAAAATAAAGCGAAAATTGAAGTTGAAAAATACATATCGTAACTATAATAACGTCACGGCAATGCTACGAGAGTTTCTGTTGGGTATCAGCCAGCCAAGCTGGCAAGGCGATGGCTTTCACTCTGCCTTGCTGCCACCCGGAGGATCTGCTCCACGTGCATGGGTCACGACCAGCCCGACCCCCCTGCACATACGCTCCGGGTGCTAATCGCTGACTGCAAGGCCAAGGACAACGCATATCACAGTCAGTGCGAACCACTGACACTAACGAAAGATGGTCTTATTAAATCGGGGGAGTGATCCCACCTTCATTATTACAAACCGCAAGGAGGTCCTGGACCTCACGCTTGCCTCTCATGAGATACAAGGGTACATCGTATCCTGGAGGGTTCTGGAAGAACACTCTGTCTCGGACTGGAAATTGAATTATCTTTTTCACTACCGACACCAGTTCAATTCCGGAACATCAGGCGGTCAAACTGGACGCGGTACTCAAACCACCTGTATCGTGCTCTCCTTGAGACTCCACCTGAAGAGGAAGAAACCTGAGTGGTGGACTCCTAAACTGGCAAAGCTAAGGCTGAGAACATTGAGCGGAAATGTCAGTCTGTTAACTTACAATAAAGAACTTAGGAAAGCCAAGCGTAAGTTCTGTATCGAAATCGAGAAGGAGTCAATAAGTTCTCTCGAAGACAAATAAATAATTTACGAGGGATTACGAGTCGTTTATATTTCCAAGGCAGTCAAGCGCTCACATACTGCCCACAAAGATATCAGATCCATAAGTCTATCGTCCTTCCTACTGAAGACGATGGAACGGCTCCTGGGAATGCATCGCACGGCGAGTATTCTGCCCGGTCTGATCTCAGACTCAGATCTGGACGTCAACGTCCACCAGATTTGTCAGCAGAGGCACGCCGCAGGGCGGAGTCCTCTCGCCCCTCCTAAGGAACGTGGCAGAACGAACTGCTGCAGGAGATAGAGGGGGGTGGCGGCCGTGTAATGGCGTATGCGGACGATGCTGCCATAGTATTCTCCGGTAAATTCCTAGTGAAAAGCACAAGTTCCGGCACTGACTTGCCCAAAACTTTGTGGGGAAGCGCTAGCATTTAGCAACAATGCTAAATAGGCAAATAGGACTAATCCTCGACAGAAAGCTCGATTGGAAACTGAGCATAGAGGATAGAGTAAAAAAGGACACAGTGGTCCTTTATACATGCTGAAGGGCAATCGGAATAAAATGGGGAATGACCCCGTATATAGTTTTTTCTCTTGGACGTTGACATGCAATGACTGCATCTTGCAAGAGGAGATGCAATTACTGCACTGCACAATTATCATCCGAGCATAAGACCCTTAACTGTTCATGCAAGGAATAATTCGATCTACAAAATGGAAGGAACAACGGTATAAAAATTCTAGTCAGTCTAATAGAAATTGTGAAGTTTATGCGGCTCAACAGATCAGGGCTGTCTATGTCACTCCTGATCAAGTTGTGCAACATTTTCCACCCTGAAAATGAGAGAAGCCAAACTGTGGGAAGCGTCCGCGGTCGGCAGTCGCGAATCCTGACGAGACTCCCGCAATTACAGAAGAGGACAGGTTATTGTATCCAAAGTGATCATCTTTCGGTGCCTTTCTAAGTATCAATCCCACCTAGGGAGGACTGGTAGATGGGCGAGCCATGACCTGCAAATGCCGTCCACTTCTACACTGAGGGCTCAAAGTTAGACGGCCGCGTGGTAGGCGGAGTCTACTGTAGCGAGCGTGAAACAACGCATCTATCGAATACGTATATAAATTAAATAACCTAGACTTGGTGTTCAACAGCACATTGAGTTGGAATGACCATATACGAAAGGCGATGGGGAAAACTTATGGATTACTCAGCCAACTGTACCACACAAAAGATTTCATACCGCAAGTCTTAAAACTAATGATACCCAAACCTATCTGACGAGGTTACTACTATATGGAATAGAAGTTTTCTGTAGCAGAAGTAAGCAAAGGCTAAATATAATGTTAAACGATAAACCTCGGTATGTATTTAGACTGGACAGATAAGATAATTTATTACAATTCTCAAATTAAAGATATAATATATCCATAAATAACTGGTTAAGCGAAAGGGCAAGGGATAAATAGAAAGATTTCGTTTGCTTAAGATGTAATCGTAGCTCTAAAAAGAAATTCTTTGTTTATGTAGCTCGTTTGTGAAATCAGCCCCCAAATAACAGGAAACACATTTGAAACGAACCGCAATTCAAACTTTAACGAACACAACAATAAGAAAATGAATTAATAAATATAAAAATATAAAATGGCCAGCCAATATGAGAAAAATATCGGG